TCTCATGGACTTTCCTGCCCAGGCTGGCTTTGAACTGTGATCCTCAGATCTCAGCCTCCTGAGTAGCTAAGATTACAGGTGTGAGCCATCAGTGCCCAGCCTTTATTTTTATTTATTTTTTATGCTGGTTCTAGGGCTTGAACTTAGAGTCTGAGCACTGTTCCTGAGCTTTTTTTTTTTTTTAATTATTGTGAAAATACTGTACAGAGGGGTTACAATTACATGGGCAAGATAATGAGTACAGTAGCCTCCTCCTTTGTTTCTCCTTCCCATCCCTTCCCATCCTCCTCCCTCCCTGAGCTTTTTTGATCAAAGCTAACACTCTACCACTTGAGCCACAGCTCTACTTTTGGTTGTTTTGGTGGCTTTGAATCATGATCCACAAATTTCAGCCTCCTGAGTAGCAAGAATTATAGGCATGAATCACTAGTGCCCACCTTTATTTTCCAGCTGTTTTCTGGTTAAATTGAAGGCAAGAGTCTCCTAGACTTTCTTTCCTGCACTGGCTTCAAACCTTGACCCTCACCCTCAGATCTCAGCCTCCTGAGTAGCTATAATTATAGGCAGGAGCCACCAGCCCCTGTTGTTCCTTAGCTTTTTCTCTTAAGGATGGTGCTCTACCACTTGAGCCACAGTCCCACTTCTTTTTTGTTTTCAACTTTGAATCTGTGGTTGAGTAACATCACTCTCCATGATTTACCATATGAAAATTGCAGGAAGTATCAACAAAGTTTGCATGCAGCAAAAACTAGGGTGTTTGCTACATTTATTTGCTGGTGGCTAATTCCAGTTAGTGTCATGAAAAACTCACTTTTGTCTGAATAAGGAAATAATGGGTATGTTCCTGATCTTTTGGGTTCCAAATACCATTTTGCTCTACCTGAGAAGAGATAGAAGGAATTGGGGTAATTTAAAAAATAGCCAGCCAGACATATAGGTCATGCCTGTAATCTTAGCTACTCAGGAGGCTGAGATCTGGGGATCATGGTTCAAAGCCCACCCAGGCAAGAAAGTCCGTGAAGCTCTTCTCTCCGGTAAACCACCAGAAAACCGGAAGTGGTGCTGTGGCTCAAGTGGTAGAGTGCTTGCTTTGTGCTGAAGAATTGAGGGACAGAGCCCAAGCCCAGAGTTCAAACCCCATGACTGACAAAAAAGAAAAAAAAAAAAAAAGGAAAAGAAATAGCCATGTTGCCAGGTACTGGTGGCTTATGTCTTTAATCCTAGCTACTCTGGAGGCTGAGGTCTGAGGATCATGGTTTGAAGCCAGCCCTGGAAGAAAAGTCTATGAGACTCTTATCTCCAATAAACTACTTAGAAAAAGCCGGAAGTGGTGCTGTGACTCAAGTGGTAGAGTACTAGCCTTGAGCACAAAAAGGATCAGGGAGGGGCTGGGAAGGTGGCTCAGTGGTAGAGCTTGCCTTGCATGCATGAGGCCCTGGGTTGGATTCCTCAGCACCACATATGCAAAAAAGAAAAAAACCAGAAGTGGCGCTGTGGCTCAAGTGGTAGAGTGCTAGCCTTGAGCAGAAGAGCTGAGGGACAGCGCCCAGGCCCAGAGTTCAAGCCCCATGACCGGACCCAAAAAAATAAAGGATCAGGGATAGTGCCCAGGCCCTGAGTTCAAGCCCCAGTACTGGCAAAAAAAAAAAAAAAAGGAATAGCCATGTGTAATGATGAGTGCCAGGGGCTGACGCTTTAATCCTAGCTACTCAGGAGGCCGAGACCCAGAGGAGAGTGGTTCAGAGCCTGCCCAAGCAGAAAAGTCCATGAGACTCATGCATTCACACACACACACACACACACAAGTATATATTATACATATGAGCCATGTGTATTTTTTATTCCAATGACTTTTGTAGATGCTGATAGGTATAAAGAGAAGAGGAGACTTGTGTTTTGCTTTACCTAAGACAAGCGATCATGCTGTATCTTGTTGAAAGCTGTGTGTTTTTCTTGTAGTACTCATTAGCCTACGCTTGCCTGAAGCTGGTGAATTACTCCTTCTTCTTCTGGCTGCCCTTTTATCTGAGTAACAACTTCAGATGGAAAGAAGCGGAGGCTGACCAGTTGTCAATCTGGTATGATGTTGGCGGAATCATAGGTATGCCTATGGACACCTTTTTCTTTCTTTCTTTCTTTCTTTCTTTTTTTTTTTTTTTTTGTGCCAGTCATGGGGTCAGCCACTAAGGGTCTGGAAACTGTCCTCGAGCTTTTGTGTTAAAGCTAGTGCTCTATCACTTTGAGCCACAGAACCATTTCCACTTTTTGGTGGTTAGTTGGAGATAAGTCTCATAGACTTTGCTGCCCAGGCTGGCTTTAAACTGTACTTCTCAGATTTCAGCCTCTTGAGAAGCTAGGATTACAGATATAAGCCACTACACCTGGTCAACGTGCACTTTTGTCCATGATAAAGATTCAGTCACTTGTAGTCTCTTGCTGGGTTAGGAAATCTGACTTCATTTAAGGTTTATTATTTACTCCACAGTCAGATTTTCCTAAACTGCCTTGCCAGTAAACAACCAAATTCCTTAAAAAAATAAAAAGTCTGTTGAGAGGAAAATCCACCAGACAGGGCTGTGATTTATGGGCTCTCTTTTCTTAGTCTGTGTTGATGGATCAGTTCTTTGTCTTGGGAAAGCTAGCAATCTCCTTAAATGCAACCCTTTTGTGCAACCCTTTTGTGCTCTTCCCATGATATTTGGCTGTCAGGCTGCTGGTGTGAAAGGTCCAAGAAGAATGGGAATGTGTTCATTTTGGCTACTTCCTCTCTCCCTGGGGAGAGCGCTCCTTCCCCCTCCCCCCTCCAGCTAACTAAGGCAGTGAAAAACCTACCTCAGTGGTAGATGGTCAGAGGTCCTGGAAGTGAGTACTTTGTAACTGCTGTTGTATACAACAGAGTTTTGTTTGATTGTTTCTTTCTTTCTTTTCTTTTTTTGGTCAGTGATGGGGCTTTAACTTAGGCCCTGGGCACCAAACTTAAGCTCAAGGCTAGTGCTCTACCACTTTGAGCCACAGAGCTACTCTGTATGAGTTTGCATTTTGAATTGTGGTGAGATTAAGTTCCCTAGCACATGTAAAGTATACAGTACAACCTTACATGATACACTGGTACTGTATTTGAATGTCACTGCCCTTATTCTTAGGTCCAGAGCCAAAGTTGATGTTGTTAGTTTAGACCTAACCATACTCCGATTCTTGGAAATTAAAATTTCATCGATGCCAAAGAAAGGTTGGAGTCAGGTGCTAGTGGCAATGCCTGTAATCCTATCTGTGCAAGAAGCTGAAACACAGATGATTAAAGTTCAAAGTCAGCCTTAGCAGAAAGGACTGTAAACTCTCTTTTTTTTTTTTTTTTTGGGTCTGGTCGTGGGGCCTGAACTCTGGGCCTGGGCGCTGTCCTTCAGCTCTTCAGCTCAAGGCTAGTGCTCTACCACTTGAGCCACAGCGCCACTTCCGGCTTTTTTTTTTTTTTTTGCTTATGTGGTGCTGAGGAATGGAACCCAGGGCTTTATGTATGCTAGGCAAGCACTCTACCACTAAGCCACATTCCCAGCCTTTTTTTTTTTTTTTTTTTTTTTTTTGCTTATGTGGTGCTGAGGAATCAAACCCAGGGCCTCATGCATGCAAGGCAAGCGCTCTACCACTGAGCCGCCTTCCCAGGCTGGACTGTAAACTCTTATCTCCTCCAATTAACTAGGAAAAATGCCAGACTAGTGTATAGCTCAAGTGGTGGAGTGCCAGCCAGAAGCAAGAACGCCAAACAAGACTGTGGAGGCCCTGATTTCAAGCCCCAGTGCTGGCAGAAAAATAAGGAAAGAAGGAAGAAAGGGAAGAAGGAAAGAAGGATGAAGAAGGAAGGAAAAGGAAAGACAGAAGGAAAAGAAAGGAAGGAAAGGAAAAAAGAAGGGAGGAATTGGGCTGATGATGTAGCTTAATGATGTGGGTAGAGTACTTGCCTTGCATATGATCCCTGGGTTGGAAGCTCAGCACTATAAAACAAACACAAAACAAATTAAAATAAAAAAAACCCACTTAGACTAGTTATTACCAAACCATTATTGTATTTAATTTTTTTTCTTTTTAATTTTTTTTTTTTTTTTGCCAGTCCTGGGGCTTGTACTCAGAGCCTGGGCACTGTCCCTGAGCTGCTTTTGTTCAAGGCTAGCACTCTACCACTTGAGCCTCAGTGCCACTTCCAGCTTTTTCTGTTTATGTGGTGCTGAGGAATGGAACCCAGGGCTTTATGTATGCTAGGCAAGCACTCTACCACTAAGCCACATTCCCAGCCTTTTTTTTTTTTTTTTTGGTTATGGAGTTTGAACTCAGGTCCTGGGCACTGTCACTGAGTCTTTTTGCTCAAGGCTAGTGCTCTACCACTTTGAGCCATAGTGCCACTTCTGGTTTTCTCATGGTTAATTGGAGCTAAGAGTTTCATGGACTTTCCTGCCTGGGCTGATCTTGAACTGTGATATTCAGCCTCCTGAGTAGCTAGGATTATGGTTGTGAGCCACTGGCACCCAACTCTGTTGTATTTAATTTTAGAGATTTTTTTTTTTGTGGGGGGGCTGCTCTTGGTAGCTTATACATTTGTTCATAAGATCTCTTACAAAGCAGAAAACTCAGGAGAAGCACCCCAGCGTGTGTGTGTGTGTGTGTGTGTGTGTGTCAGGAGAAGCACCCTAGTGTGTGTGTGTGTGTGTGTGTGTGTGTGTTTCCTCAGGCTTGAACTCAGGACCAAGGTCCTGCCTGGGTGCTCCACTTCCAGCTTTTGTTTTTCTTCCCCTCAATTGGACATAGAGTCTCATGGACTTTCCTGCCCAGGCTAGCTTTGAACCATGATCCTCAAATTTCAGCCTCCTGAATAGCTAGGATTACAAGCATGAGTCACCTGTGTCAGGCCGCAGCTTGTTTTTGTAAAAAAACTCAGTAAGAGTGAGTAGTTTTAATGATCTCCTTTTTCTTTTCTATACCCTTTGATCTGCGGTCTGCTGACTGGCCATCATGGGATGTCACAGTGTCTTCCTAGAAAGAACTGATGAAGGAGGATTTGGGGGAGAGGCAGTCATCTCTTTGGCTGAGTCCGAAGGAGGAGAGGGGGGATTCCTGGGGAGCATGCCTGGGGCCGCTCAGCTCCCTGGGAGCTGCTTTTGACTGCCATGTACTCTGTGGGTTGCAGGAGGAACTCTTCAAGGCTTCATCTCTGATGTGCTGCAGAGGAGAGCACCCGTGCTGGCCCTCAGCCTGCTCCTGGCCATCGGGTCCCTGGTTGGGTATAGCCGTGAGTATTCCTTAGCTGGTTTCTGTTTCCTGTCTCTTGGGAGCAAGCATTTGCGCAGACTCTGTAATCAGCCCTGGGGAGAGAGAGCCTGCCACCCGCTGCCAGGCTTGACATGCCACCCTTTTGTCATCGAGGGAATGCCTGGGAGCTGTCATCCAGGCTTTATTTGCGTAGAGAGGAAACAGGCCTCTCCTCTACTTTGTGGATTTGTTTAAAAGCTGCTTTGTTTGAGGAGTAGCTCCAGAGGGACAGCATTAAAGAGACAATAAAACCATAAAAGGGGGTGAGGTTTCAGGAGGGGAGAGATGGTAATTAGTAGGCTTGCTGTATGTGTGCTAAAGATGTGTAGAGTTTCTAGCTTTTACAAGTCTCATTAGCTTGAGCTCAGTGAGAGACAGACATTACACATAAAGTTGGAAGAGACAATGAGAGAGTTCTGACTCTTTGTTGTCTCTAGGAGGGATTTGTGAGGCCACAGACATTCAGAGCCCTGTATCCTGTTCTTTTTTCTTTTTTTTGTGCCAGTACTGGGGATTGAACTCAGAGCTGGGGTGCTGTCACTTAGCTTTTTCCCTCAAGGCCAGTGCTCTACCACCTCAGATCCATGTCTGTGGTTAATTGGAGATAAGAATCACATGTACTTCATGGGCTGGCTTTGAACCTGGATCCTCAGAGCTCAGCTTCCTGAGTAGTTAGAATTACAGGCGTGAGCCACTGGTGTCTGACTTTGCAACCAGTTTTTAAGTCACCAAAGCATGTTTGTCTCCTTACAGGGTCTCCGAATGATAAGTCCATCAACGCACTTCTGATGACCGTCACAGGTATGGCCGCCTGTCACACTGATGCTAAGGCCTTAGTTATGGAGATCTCAAATGACAGCCGTGCCTCTCTTGGCAGTTTTACTTTGGGGTGACTTCCTCTGGCCTCTTGTAACAGAACCGATCCGTACTGGGAGAGTGGCTGTAGCCCTAGTCCCAGGTGTGACTTCAGGAAGTGATCTGGCAATAAGCCGCCTTGGGAGCTAGTTCTTCCTGTGTTAGAATTGGCCGTGGTTTCTGGGTGCAGTGAGGCCAATTAGACATCGTAGCGTGGAAAAATGACTTGTTTTTAACCCTTCAGCTCCTCTCAGGGAGTGAGCTGCTCAGCTACACAAGTCACCTGGCACCCATTCCAGTCATGTGACCCAGTTTATGCCAGATTCTTGGGCTACCTGTAGACACCCTGCAGTTTTAGAGCGACCTTTATGTCTCCCCTCTTCTTCAGTGTGTTGTTGAAGTGGGGTGGTCAAAGGCTTGGGTGACGGCAACTCTTAAGGTAGAACTGTATGTGCTGCTCATGAGTGTCTTTATGAGCTCAGATCTGAGAGTCAGGAAGGTTTCCTGTTTCACTATTTTTATCTCTTTAGATTCTATTATTATAGAGCCACATACTTCAAGAGGGATTCCAGCAAAGTAGATGCTAATCAGTCTGGAGATGATACTATCTGGAAGAATTTCCTTATTTTCTCCAACATATTAATTAAAATGCTGCAATGATATTTTTGCCTTATCTAGGAGATTGCTAGTGTTAATTATAGCATCATGTTTTAATAGGCACCTGTTCTGTTTGTATGTTTCAGGGTTTTTTATCGGTGGACCTTCTAACATGATTAGCTCAGCCATTTCTGCAGACCTAGGTCGCCAGGAGCTGATTCAAGGGAGCAGCGAGGCATTGGCCACGGTCACGGGGATTGTGGATGGGACGGGGAGCATTGGAGCCGCTGTGGGCCAGGTGAGACAGCAGAACCTGGACAGGGGCTGGGTTGCAGTGAGGCCTCCCCCCCCCCCATCCACCCAGGGCAAGGCTAGGGGCTGGGATTCCCCACTGGCTCTCCTCATTTGTGCTGTCCTCCTGAGCCCCAGCAGGTGGCGCTCGTGTTCTGGGGACTGCTGTTGCCAGAGCCTTAGGTTCTGATTCTCCTGTAAGGCCAAGTGAATGGGTGCCTGTGTGGAAGGCCCTCTGCCTTTTTTACTTCCTTCTTTCCACTTTCACTTCTTGATCATTCCTGTCTGCCATGACTTTACAACTCTGCCCCTTCACCCCAGTCTGTTGCCTCCTGGTTCCCAAGCCAGGAGGTACCAATGCGACACTTGGGCCTTTTGCCTCTCCTGTGTTTCCCTACCAAACGTACACCTACACATTCTTCTCCTGGACCTCGCCCTTTATCACCCGGGCGGGGCTCTGGCTTCCTTTTCCGTGGGTGGCATTTTCTACTTGTCTTGCCTTACCCATGTGTTCTCAGTGAAGTGGGCCAACAGAACTGGCACTTCTGGGAGTATATTTTATTCCAAATGTCTCACCTGCCAGTGTTGATCCCTAACTGAACGTGGCTTGGCTCGCCACCGACCTTCAGCGTTGGAGAAACGTTTCCTTCTGTCTGGAGTGGAGCCTCGTTAGCCGGGTTGAGTGTTTCATGCCTGCCTGTTACCTGCGCAGTGAAATGACAGGCTCCATGGCTTCCGATGGAAGCTGCAGCTGGCTCTCAGCCGCTCTGCGCTCCTGGGAGGGCTTTGTGGCTTCCATCTTCCTCTGAGTTCCAGAAAAGGCTTTACTATTTCTCCTCTTTATTTTTATTTTTTGGCCAGTCCTGGGGTTTGAACTCAGGGCCTGGGCACTGTCCCTGAGCTTCTTTTGCTCAAGGCTAGCATTTTACCACCTGAGCCAAGCACCCCTTCTGGCTTTTTTTGTGTATGTGGTACTGAGGACTCGAACCCAGGGCCTCATGCATGCTAGGCGAGCACTCTACCACTGAGCCACCTTCCCAGCCCCTATTTCTCCTCCTTGCTCAGGGTTAATGCTATGCTACCTGAGTCACAACTCCACTTCTGGCTTCTTTGGTGGTTAATTGGAGATCAGAGTCTCGTGGACTTTGCTGCCTGGGCTGGTCTTTGAAGGATCCTCAGAGCTCAGTCTCCTGAGTCTCCTGAGGTTACATGTCAGAGCTACTGTGCCTGGTCTTGGTCTTAGTGCATACTCACATATCCCTGGTGCTCAGTGGGATTAAACTGAGTGTCTCCAGGAGAAATGAGAACAAATGTCCACTTCCATCCTTCTGTGTGAATGTTCTACAGCTGCATTCTCATGGTAACTACAAAGTAGAAACACTCAAATCCATCAGTTTATGAGTGGATAAACAAAACATGGTACATCCATTCAGTGGCGTATTATTCAGCAGTGAGGAAGGAATGAAGGATAGATAGATGCTATGTAGATGGACATGAAAGTATGATGTAGAAGCCAGTCATGAAAGACCACATCATATATACTATTTCATTCTCATGAGATGTCCAGAATAGAGTTAGTGTTGGTTGAGTTGTGGTGGCAAGCGACTTCTGAGGAATGTAAGATTTCCTTAAGGGTCAGTGATCACCTGGTAAAATTATATCAAGTCATAACTCCAGACATTCTAAAAACCATTGAGCTGTACATCTATGGTACCTAAATTACACATTGACAAAGCTGTTGTTCTTTTAAAAAAAGTTGTAGTCAGAATTTGGAGGCACTGTGTTAGGGCGTTTCTGGGGGATGAGACTTGCCTCAAACTCCTGCTGCTCCTGCTTCAGCCCGGGAGCGCTGAGGTTTCAGGTATGTGCCCGTGTGCCTCACTAAACTTCTGCTTTTGTGAGTTGTATGATGAGGCCTAGATTAAATCATTGAGTTGCCCTGCCTTAACTTCTCCCACTTAGATATTTCAGTAGTAACATGTTAGCTCTTCTGTTTAGTCAGTTGATTTTTGACAAGGGTGTCAATGGGAAAAGAATGGTCTTTTCATTAATGCTACAAGGAATGATATCCACATGCAAAAGGTATATATGTGTATATATTATTATTATTATTACTATTTTTTGTTGGTCATGGGTCTTAAACTCGGGCCTGGGCACTGTTCCTGAGCTCTTCAGCTCAAGGCTAACACTCTACTACTTGAGCCAAAGTGCTACTTTGGCCTTTTCTGCTTATGTGGTGCTGAGGAATCCAACCCAGGGCCTCATGCATACAAGGCAAAAGCACTCTACCACTGAGCCATCTTCCCAGCCCCATATATTTTTTATACTACATAAAATTAATTAGAAAAGTATTAAAGGCCTAAGCTAAAATTGTAAAACCCTTAAATGGAAACAGGGACAGATCTTCCTGATCAATATTTACATATGTCCAGTAACACACACAAGAAGATTCCCAGTATTCTTAGTCATCAGGGAAATGCAAATCAAGAACATAATTGGTGGGCTGGGAAGGTGGCTCAGTGGTAAAATGCTTGCCTTGCATGCATGAGGCCCTGGGTTTGATTCCTCAGCACCACATCAGCAGAAAAAGCTGGAAGTGGCGCTATGGCTCTAGTGGTAGAGCACTAGCCGTGAGCTGAAGAGCTGAGGGACAGCGCCCAGGCCGAGAGTTCAGGCCCCATGACTGACCAAAAAAAAAAAAAAAAAATCAAGAGATAATAAGGATATGGAGAAATGAGTCTTATATTACTGGAGAAAAAACAAAATGGTGCCACTTCAGTGGAAAACACCAGGGTTTTCTCAGTAAGAACCAAAACCAAAAAACCTTTAAACCTAGAATTCTTATGTGACCCAACGATGCCACTCCCTGGATAGTTACCCCAAATTGGAAACAGGAATCAGGTATTTGTGTGCCATTGTTCATTGAAGCCTTATTCTAATAACTAAGAAGGAGAAACAACTGTACAACAGATGAGTAGATAAGCAAACTGGTATGTCCATTCATGGAGTACTGTTCAACCATTAGAAGGAATGAAATTCTGATTCATGCTTACAACATGGTTGAAACTTTCAAACTGTATACTAAATGAGAGAAAGGAGGGAGAATGTACTCCGAATATTCAACATATATCCTATGAAACTAGGAAAGTTGAGGGTAGGGATTAGATGGGAGAGAATGAAGAAAGGCTGGCATTGTTCAAGATGTATTGTAGTTACAGAAACTGATTTGCTGACCGATAACTCTTTTATACAGTTGCTTAAAGATAATGAAACTATAATTGAAAAACTTTTTGCAAAGTGAGTTATGTCAGATAGACAAACACAAAAAATACATGATTCACTTACTAGAACAGGAAAATGCATAGATTCAGAATGTAGATGAGTAGCCACAGGGGGCTAGGAGAGAAGGACACAGACGTAGAGTTTACTGGGTGATGCAAACTTTGGTGTACACGTAGTGATGATGCTGTGCAGTGCTGTGTGCTTAACCGATGCCACTGGCTTGTGCGCTTAACAGTGATTGAAATGACAATTTTATGTCAAATATTAACCCTAATAAAAGAAAAAAAAAGGATTAAATGCCATTAGCTTCTTTTTAGTAATTGAAAGTAAAGTAGCTGAGCCCTGGTGGCTCACGCTTGTAATCCTGGCTACCCAGGGGGCTGAGGATGGAGGTTCAAAGCCAACCTAGGCAGGAAGGTGTGCGAAAGTATGTAAGACTCGTATCTGATTAACTATCAAAATGCTGGAAATGGAGCTGTGGCTCAAGTGGTAGTGTGCTAGTCTTAAGAAAAAAGTTAAGTGACAGAGCCTGGGCCCTGAGTTCAGGCTCCAGTACTGACTTTAAAAATAAAAGTATGATGGGCGGTGGTGGCTCATGCCTGAAATCCTAGCTACTCAGGAGGCTGAGATCTTAGGATCTCAGTTCAAAGCCACCTGGGGCAGGAAAGCCTGTCAAACTCTTATCTCCAGTTAATCAACAAGTGACTCAAGTGGTAGAACGCTCGCCTTGAGGTGAGGAGCTCAGGAACAGCTCAGGCCCAGAGTTCAAGCCCCACAATCGACAAAAGTATATAAAACTAAAAAAGTAAAGAAGATGTTGTAGAATTCAGGATGGCCACGTTGACACAGCTTACAGGAAGTGGTGTGCTGGAGATGAACTGTTTGCGAAAGCATCCACAGGTACTTCCGTTGAAGATGATCAAGGTGGGAGTGGCTGGAGGATGTTCATCTCCTCCTCTCTGAAAAGCAAAGAGAATCAATATCCACCTTCTGAACTTAGACTTTTACTATACAAGTTGTGTATTACACTCTACAGGCTTCCAAAAGGAGCCATTACTAAAATTTAGATGGAGCTTGGTATGGCGCATGCCTGTAATTCCAGGAGTTGGGGGTCTGAAGATGGGAGATGTGAGTGCAAGGCCAGACAGGGCTACATAGCGAGTTCCTGTAGTCCATAAAGAGAATGAGTGAATGAATAAACAAATGAGGAGATAAAAAAGCTTGAATGGAAGTGTGTGGAAAAGCTTTGTAAATATGAAAACATATAAACCTTCACTCTCCACGTGTTTTCTAAAATAGCCTGCTTAGCTGGGTGCTGGTGGCAGATACCTGTAACCTTCCCTATGCAGGAGGCTGAGATCTGAGGATCTATGTTCAAAGTCAGGCATATAGATCCTCAAGATTCATATCTCGAATTAACCAGCAAAGAGCTAGGATCGGAGGCCTGGATCATCTGTACAATACCTGCTGTGAATGAAAAAAACCTAGTGAGAATGAGGACTTGAGTTCAGGTCCTAGCATGGGCACTACAAGGAAGAAAGTGGGGCTGGGAAGGTGGCTCGGTGGTAGACTGCTTGCCTTGCATGCCTGAGGCCCTGGGTCGATTCCTCAGCGCCACATAAGCAGAAAAAGCTGGAAGTGGCACTGTAGTTCAAGTGGTAGAGCACTAGCCTTGAGCTAAATTACTGAGGGACAGTGCCCAGGCCAGGAGTTGAAGCCCCATGACAGACAAAAAGAAAAGCAAGAGGGTGGGAGTTGGCTCAGTGGTAGAGAGCTTGCCTTGCATGCCTGAGGCCCTGGGTTCGATTCCTCAGCACCACATAAGCAAAAAGAAAAAAGCTGGAAGTGGCGCTGTGGCTCAAGCGGTAGA